AAGTCTGGGAAACTAAATGGCCGTACACCTCTGAAAATTGTCATTTCAGCTTCACCTTCCCGGGCATTCATCCAAACATATGGTGAGTTATGGTGATTCTTGAAGAGAATGTTATAAAATGCTCTTGGCGCACAAATTCGTAACAATTTTCCAACAAAAACAGCTAGTACAATAACACTACTGGCTAACATATGCTGCACAACGGCGACGAATCTGACGTCATGAGAAATATGAGTGGAATGCTTTAAAAATGAATGAAGAAGGGCGCTATCGCAAGATACGGGGGCACTGTGGTGAGAATGCATTCAAAATCGCGTCAAACATGTCCTTTTTGTCAAAAACAGGACTAAAGCTTAAGCGGGGTGAAGAGGCTCCAGGGAGCGTCAGCCATTTTCATTTCCTGGAATTCCTGCCCTCCTCCCGGCTTAGTCCCACGATACCCCCGCATATTGCTAGCGTCCGAAAAAGTAAAGCCACTTCACCATCAACTGAATTCCCTTCGGAGGAAGAGATTCCCACGCAGTCATTAAAACCCTTTGGTTTATGGGTGGTTTCTGGAAGAGTATGAGGATGTTATTTATGATCTTACCCTCTCGGGGAAGGCTCATTCACTCCTCTCATACTCCGGGAAGTAGCTCCAACCAATCCAATATCACCAGGCAAAGTTCTCAAAAGAAAATTAGATGACGTAAGGCCTCAGAAGAAGTTTCCTGAGATAGCGCAGCTAGTATGTACCCTGAAGTTTCCCCGTTTGCGCTGCAAATCATCCTGTAAAAATAAGCTAAAGAACTAAAGTTGCCTTTCGAATACTTATAGCTAACTAATAGAACTACTATTTAGCAAACGTGCAACTCGAGCTCGCCTTCGAGTCAGATGGTGGGTTTCTCGTACTTTAAAGGATGTTGAGTAACATGAGTAGCACCAAAAGTACTTTTCTTCAGTGTTCCTCCTCATCGACCAGGAGCACCGTGGTGAGTATCCGAAAACTTTCCAAGATCTTCCACTTACTTAAACTTAAAGGGCACAACCCAAGCAGAAGTCCATGGGAACAATCTTCCTCCCGATACCCTGCTACTCTTAGACTCCCAGCAGGAAAAGAAAACCATTGTACTTCTGTGCATGGAACTCGCGAACAAAAGCCGCGCTATAGCTGCAAAGTACTGCAGCAGCTGCACGTTTTCAGAACGTTGTATGCGCCCCTCACGACTGCTGTGCTCGCCTTCGCTAACTCGTGCTTTTCTCTCTGCGCTTATACTCATTGTCTTAGCCGCATCGCCCGCGTTAGAGAATGTCGCCTCACTATCGATTTGTGTTGTTCCAAGCAGGAAAGCCAGCAGAAAAGAAACCATAAAAGCATTACTCCAGCCCCAGCATAAACCCATCGTTCTAGTTGAAAACTGTTTACAGATGTTCATCCGAAATGTACGAATATAACACTTACTTTGTAATATTCAGATATTTCAGCATCGGTATACCTGTCTCGCTGACAAGAGGATGGTACGTTCACATTGTAACATTCTTTATTCTATTTCGCTTTCCGCTATCTAACTTGATAAGCAATTTTTTTCTTATTTCCTCGCCTCACATACTCGGAGCATTGCTCGCCGAAATGAATTTTAGCGAGCTCGTCTTCACAGATTTATTAGGAGGCACAACAGAACCACTCACCAGTGAGCGTGGTACTGTCGCAAGCTTAGAAATGCGCAACAAGGGAGCTAATCCCTCACTGCGACCTGCTTGCAACCGCTTCAAATGCTATCGCCGCAGCGCACTTGACGTCTTCTGCCCCTCGCGTACAGAATGTGCTTGCTCGCGTCCCCCCCCCATAGCGTTGTTCTCTTCGTTTACGATGGTTCACCATAAGAGAGGAATGTTATTGCTTCCTATGGCGCTTTTTGCTTTCCCCCACTAGCGTTTTTCTTCACCTTTTTTCTAATTCCAAACAAAATAACATCCAAATTCTCCACGACCCGTGCCTTTAATGTGAACCCGATGTTGGCCCGTTACGTACAGAAGTTAACACAACTAAACGCAGAAGACGCTTCCAAATGTGGACGGGGCGTACAGGCACGGGCCTAGGTGGGAATTTACTACGGAGCCCCCTTTGTCCAAACATTGTGTATCTAGTGACGCGCGCTCCCCGACGCGCCGGAACGCGCTCCCACTCAGCACCACCTCTGATGCATTAAAAGTCTTAGTCCATCTCCTGTATTTCTTTCTACCAACGCTTATGCCTCATATAATCGTTAATGTCTTACGCTCTCCGATCCGGACAACAATCCACACGAATGGTGAGCATTACTTTTGCTGCCCATAACTCCCTAAATCACTGTGTGAGCTTTTTGTTTGCAATACATCAGACGAAAGTTCAAAGCCACTTTCTCGTAGTCTTTCATCTTGTAAAAGCAATGCTTCAGAGAATTAATCCTTTCTATGCGTACTATCTCCAAGAAGGTCCTCATACGTTCCAAATATCGGTAGAGCTATCTTTTTCTTTTCATACTATACCAAACTATTCGCTCTCCTCTCTCCTACCGGTTATAGTCGAACGTCTAAAGTGCTGCAGCCATTAAACAAATCATCACAGACAGAAACAGCTTGAAATGTTCTGCTTTAGCACACCTATCAACCCACAGAATCCTCCCGCAATCCCTTTCAACATGGCCAACTCTTATCCACCGTTTGAGCAGGTGAGCATCACTTCAACATCTTTTTATGCTAAATGGCCTAAAAGCTTTGCTGATTCATCCCTGAAACCGTCCGTTTGACTAAAGCACTCACATTCAGTTCGCTCCTGGACTAAACGCAGCTGTCGTCAAGCCATCAATAGGCACAGTTCCTCCTGTGATCATGTGAGTTGAAGATCTCAGTAGCTTTTTTTTCAAATTGATAGTGAAAGACTAGCAATTTCTCACAAAAAAAGAAGAATCCGGGTACCCGTCAGGAGGCCCGTCGCGCGGCAAGAAGGCAGGGTCGCGGACGAGTCGCAGCGCGTACTGTAGCGATTTCGCGTCAAGTTAAACAGAATGTCCTACAGTACACCACATCGCACAGTACGCGCTGCAACTCGTCCGCTGACCTGCCTTCTTGCCTCTGTCGCCGCGCGCCGCTCGACGGGCCTAATGTCCGGTACCCGAGAATCGGGAGCTCGACAGCCAGCTTCGGCTGTAGCAGCTAGCGCCACTGAGTGGACCAAGCCAGCCGCTCATTTGGCAGCCGGTTACTATGGAAGACAATTGCAATGTCAGCATACCAACTGCTCTCCCGACTTTATGGAGCCAGGTATGGCAGTCTGGTGGCCACGAAATGATCGCGATTTAGACCGGGTTGCTGTTCCGTTGCGGTCCAAGGAAACCAGGCGATTACGGCATGCAACTGTAAACAAGCAGTGAGTACTTTCTTTGAGAGTTTAAAATGAATACTGGTTTGAAAAAGCACGGCCCTAATCTGGAACCTTCTCAGAGCGGTAGCACATGCATATTGGACGACTCATGCACGATCTTCAACAGGACGTTACCTACAGGTAGCTTACTTTTCAGAAGTTCTCGTGATACCCGCAGTGAAATCCAAACCGAGAGGGCCAGGTGGTACCGTTCGGCACCGCGCGCAATGTCACATTCCCCTACCGAACTTCGTATACGTGGCGTACACGGTTAGAACCAAGATCAACCGTCCGTTTGCGCTTGGGGGCCACGTTCGTGATTTCAAGAAAGGGGGTCTATTTTAGGGTTGGACAAGGTCGTCACAGTGGAAACAGAGGTTGACAAGAAGTAGTTAAAGGGGACTGGACTGTTTTAACGGGTGTTTTGACGAATTCGGTGAAAGAAGTACTGAGAATTAGGCAAAATTGGTGGGTTTACCACTCGCTTCGACGGGCGTTTCGGAGGAAAAGTGGGCGTAGTTGGGCTGTGTCGAATGGTCCCAGATCAAATACATAGAAAACAGCCATTAGGGAGGGTGTTGACGCGCAAGGAAGCGGAGTCGTAACGAGGGCTTCCTAAGTCTCATGGTGGTTGTGGGGGAGGGGGAGGGTCGCAAAATTTTGGAAAACTGTGACAGTTGACCTTGGCTAGAACGAGCCATCGGACCCGAGGATAATGGTAGCAGCTACTGACTTATACTAAGACCCATGAGGTATCCATCACATGGCAAGAGCTTCTGTTTTTCGGACTGACCATGCATTTCCACAGCGGAACCATGTCAGGAATGCTATTGCAAGGCATTATTGTGTGAGTCACTACAAGGAAAGAACCTTTGTGCACGGGAGGAGATTGTGATAGTGGCGTGGGCGGACAACTTCTTGCCCACTTAATCTTCGCAAAGTCCCGCCCACACGACATCCACCTTGAATTCCGGGAACGTAACGGACGACAAACCTCAAAAATACTGAAGGCAGCGATTTACGATCATCCAAGAAGGGTTTAGAGGGATTTATAGTGATCATGTACGTCGTGGCGAAAAAAGCGGAAATCTGTCGAGACGAAAATGGAGCCCTTTTTGCATGGTTTGCCTATGTGCAGTGAAGCTCAATACATGCTGTGATCGAGTTCAGCGCAAGATTCGCACTCAGGACCTACGGACAATCGAGTTGATCAGTTGTGCCATGTGGCGCGATGCTCGTTCAAATATTCAGCTAAGTCTATGGGAGATCGCTTTGGGGGGCGGATTGTTTCGAGTCCTGCCAGCAAACAAGGCGTTCCAGGCGAGAAGAGCCCAATACGCTTCCGTGGCAGCCAAGTAACTGATTCGTGCGGTGCATCTGTCTCCCTGATGCGCTCCCACTATCGTAATCGCTGCCTTTGAATGTTATCTCAGAAAACGAGTATATTGGAACCACTTCAGGGACGACGACATGCGACAGTGCGAAGCTACCCCATTACAGCCTCAAGTCAGCGTGAGATGGTACGTTTGTTTTTCTCACACAATAACAGCACCACGGAGTTGGGAATTCATTGAGGCATAACTCCCGATTCTTGTTTTCTTGGGAGGTTAACACATCGCTGCAGTTTGCAATCGACTTTTTGACTTAAACATTGGGTTCTGTTATCGTACCACGTCCGAAGATTGTGGTTTGGCCCAAACCACACGCGCGCCACGAAGGCTTTGCTCATAGTTATGGAACTATCCGGATTTATTTTTTCCGATTCCTTTTCTATGTCTACGATTTCCTGAGATGTTTTTACTTCATTTTTCAGTGTACCACCTAGGGAGTCCCACTAATATGGTCAGTTCAACTATTCTTCGATAAGTAAGTGAAGTTAATTTCTCTTATTATATATCTTATAGTTAGATATATATGGTTATACTAATATGGGTTGTTGTACTGTACTCTGCCTACAGAGGACAACGAATGCGGTTCTTCCTTATTCTGGGCCTTGTGGGAGTGAAGCATAGTTGTATGCTTCACAATCTTGAACCGTGTGTCTTAATACAGGGGGGGGGGGGGCCAAAAAAAAAAGACATTTTGCCTATGTCGGACTTCGGCTCTTTTTTCTTCGCAGAGATTGCTGTCGTTGACGGGAGTTCCTCAGCAGAGTATTCCCTAAGTGTCCCTCTATAAGTGAACGCAGGCCCTCCTTCACTGCCCTCACCGTCTTCAGAATATGACGTCATCTGTCACCGTCGTCAGGCTCAAGGAGGTCTACCGTAAGAGCTTCAGCCTGAAGCTCTTACGCAATTTCGTGAATCGATTTAATGTTGGATAGTTTTCTAGAGGCATTAGCTACCACTGTGCAAATCCCCTCGGAACTAGCTTTCCAGTAAGGGTCGTTATGGTACACGATCCTTCGAAGACCCCATTGAGATCGACCAGTGCACCATGTTTCCAGGGCTAATTCTTCTGATGCCGTCCACGTACGTGGCCACTATGAAGATTTTCTTATAGAATGGAATGCACTCTTTAATAATAAGTTGGAACCGTTCGGTCTGAGTTGAGTAAAATGTGCTTAAATCCATCTGGAAGTGGAGGCAAAATGTCTTTTTTTTGGCCCCCCCTGTATAATAACGTATCCTTCTATTATATAAAGCGCTAACTTTGTGTGTCGGTTTGTGTATCTGTATGTGTGTGTGTGTGTGTGTGTGTATGTATGTGTGTCCGTCCGCAAAATGAAGTGAGTGAGAAGGAAGCTCATGGGATAAACAAACCGCTAACAGATCGGGTAGCTTACAGGATTTGAGATATCAATGTTTTGTAGCAGGATAGTTGTGATAACACTCTTAGGGCTATATAAACACCTGCTTAGCACACTTCCGTTCATTCCACATGGTGCTGCAGTGGCAGCTGGAGGGCAGTGGAGAGAGGAAGGGAGGATGAGGAAGGGAAGCGAAAAATCTACCGTCATATCATGATTGTGTCCCTTCTACTGTATGAAACACCATTGTGTTGCATACGCGTCACTTCCAGGAGGTGTTGGTGTCACAGGAGGAAGGGACCATAGCGGAGGATAGAAAGCTTGCGCATTAAAGGAAGGTCCCGGCGGTTGACGGGGGACTAATCTGGTTATATAAATGCGCTCTCTTTTCAGGAGACGGATTTAATAAATAACGACGTCTTCATACCTTCACGCCACGCCCATCTCACCGAGGTAGGGAATCCCATCCTTACGCCGTCAACGCCATCCTAAATAGAACGCGTCGTCTGTCTGTCTGTCTGTCTGTCTGTCTGTCTGTCTGTCTGTCTGTCTGTCTGTCTGTCTGTCTGTCTGTCTGTCTGTCTGTCTGTCTGTCTGTCTGTCTGTCTGTCTGTCTGTCTGTCTGTCTGTCTGTCTGTCTGTCTGTCTGTCTGTCTGTCTGTCTGTCTGTCTGTCTGTCTGTCTGTCTGTCATACTGTTATATAAAGAGTATCGTTAAATTCAATAGTGAAAGTCATCGTCCAATGCCTCTGTTTAGGAATTTTATCGGAAAGGGCAGGCTCTTCACTTGATGCGATTTTCCAATGAAACGTCGACTGCATAAATAAGCTGCGTAGTTGATTTTATGTGGATCCAATAATGTACAATAACTTAATATGCGAGAATTCTCCAAAAAGTCGGTGCATCGCTATTGGCAATTTCCACCAGAGCATAATTTGTTTCCGTTCTCGACCGGCAATCGCTCATCTTCGAGCCTATCGACATAAGTAAGAAGGGCGGTCCTGCCGTGCGGGTGAGTTTTTATTTTCTGCGTCGTTGGAGAAGAGGGGAGTTGAATAGTGAAACTAGCCTAGAGTAGCTGATATTTTTGAAAACACTTGTCATATGACAGGTTTCGGAATGGGACAGAGAAAAGGCGACTTTTCTGCTACCAACGCGGTAATGATTGCGCGACGTGTCGATATCATTTATATAGGTAATGTCAGCGGCGCTAGGAAGCCTGCATCTTCAGTATTTACGATAGGCAGCCAATCAGAGTAAGGTAGAGGTGTCAGTGGTGCAGGATGAAGAAAAAACATGAGAAACGGCCCAGAACCCGAGAAATGGCCCCTTTTTTTGCCTTTGATTTCCGCATTGATGCGACTCTCATCGGTGCTGCCCTCTTCAACGCTAACGCTCTCTCTGCCAACGGCTAGAGTCAGACGGTGAGGTGGTGGGCGTGCCACGGCGCGAGCGGCGCGGATATGGCCCTGCAAAGTTGCTGGGTGTATATTTACTCTTTGCTGCGGAACGCGTATCACCCTGCACCCTTACCATTAGGTCTGCCCGCCTCTCAACTCGGTATATTTCCCCTTCTCCAACTTGTGATCATATCGTGGAGCCCTGGAGCCCTCTAATTCCAACAAATACTATGGATGCTTCAAACCTTGCCCACACCACTCTTGGAAGAACTCAGAGAAGTCTTTTCAGGTTCTTCCCCAGTCTCCCATGTGGCAAAAACCAGTGAGGTAAGTGTTCGGCAATATCAAATGCTGTTTGCTGAAGTCCACTGCTATTCCCATTTCTCTGTCAAATCGAGAATAATTAAAAAGAAAAAATGAATGCGAAAATTTTGATGTATTTGAAGTCCCGCTAACGTTTCGGGACCAGATTGCGAGAGCAATTTCCCACCAAACGAAAATGCGACTAATTGAATCCTCTGGCTAAGTGTTTCCACATTCTTCAATGGGCCAAAACATATTCTGTTCAAAACGGGATTTTGCCACGCCTCCTGACACCGGATACGTCCTTTTTGAATCCAGTAGCTTATCCTTATTCAACAAATGGTTCCTACTATTCCAGTACCGGCTGCTGTGATGTTTACATTCGTCCGTCACATCTCATTGTCGCATGCGGCTGCAGGCCCACGTCACATCGTTCAGTGAGTTCTTTTTCTGATGGACTCCAGAATTTTTAAATAGAAATGTGACATTGTGCGGAACTGGCTGGCAATCTCATGCGAAACCTCCTGAGCTCCTCAAATTGAGTCCAGGTCAATCCAGTCCTTCATTATTGTGGCGTAGGTTATGAGATGCGATTGCCTTCTCTGTACGCCGAACGAAGAAACTGGGCGGCAACTGACTGACTGGGAACATGGGGTCATATCCTATCCTTCTCCCAGGGGGACGCGTCCCCGCCGCAGATCTGGTCCTATAGTTGGGGCTCGGGAGGAAGGGTTGCGTCATAGGACCAAGCCATACTCTGCATCTCTAGGAACTGCGATAGCTCGATCTCTCATTGTAAGATAAAAAATCGCTCAACAGAGGGGATTAGCAGCGACATCATCGTTCATGGGCGGACCAGAGTGGCAGCATTGTAATGCAACGAGTAGGGGCGCATCCACGCCGGATACCACGATAGAATAACGTAAATGGAGGAATGCGCCACAAACGCGGCAATTAGTTTAACCCTTTCGGACCTGAATTTTTCCCCGTGGAGAAATTTTTCTTCTAGCTATTGTTTATTACTTGTGAGCATATAGGTATCATTATGGCGAAATTTGGAAGCTATTCGATCACAAACAAAGAAACTAAGAAGCTTTGAAAATTGGCCCACCTTCTTAGTTTTTAAGCTTATGTCGAAACAATTCGAAATTTCATAGTTATGCCGAAAAAGTTTATAATCTTGCATAACATTATAACCCATAATTTTGATTTAGGAATGGATCTACTTCAAGTATTTTAAGAAAAAGTCACACTTACTTGGCCGGTTGCGGGGGTCAGCGCCCATTCACTGTTGCACTTGTACACAAATACTTGTAATACTAACACGAGATAAAGAATGAAATCGGTTTAGCTCATAATTAGGGAAGGGGAAGGTTGACTGAAGCAACCTCTAGCAGGATTAGAAAAACCATGCTGTTTCAGCGGCAATGCAAGCGTTTGAAATTTGGTGGTGGCAATTGCCACCGCCAGGGCCGAAAGGGTTAAACTGCTTTCTCTTGCCAAAAAAGGCTAGAGCCAGACGGTCAGAAGGGCCGCATGCCACCCGCCGCTGTCTAAGCGTATGTCAAACGAAACATACTGCGGAGTAAAGGTGATCCATGAGGGGCGGGGGGGGGAAGGGGTGAGGTACTTTACGAGGAAATGAGGGAGAGTGCGAACGAGAGCAGCACATTGATCCTTCGAGGACCAAGTAGTCCATATACCAGATGCAGCAGTGTGCCTAGAGTATAGGGCGCAATTGCGACATGCTACGCGACGCGGGAAAACAAAGTTTTCATTGCGATAACTAAAGGATGAGTGGTAATTTTTTGGGCTTCGGTCGTCCTAGCAGGAAATCAGCTATGCATGCTTCTTCTACGATTCAAACCATTTTCAGCCGTACAGTTCATGCTCACAAGCTTTGCTCAATAATGATCTCCTAAGCTGTGCTATGTCAAAACAGTTGCCCTCCGGTGAGTCGCAAAGAACAGAAGTTTGATCAGCTGTTGTGTTACCCTCCCTTCCAAAAAAAACGAGAACGTCGGGTGCAGAACAACACACCACAAGTGACGACGGCCATCCAAG